GAGGAAGACATGGCGGCGGCTGGTGAGAGGAGGCGGCGGCATGGATGGGGTTAAGGTTAGGGTTCAATGGAGGAAGAGGGGGGGGGGCTGGAGGCGAGCGGCGGGGTGCGAGGTGGTAGCGGAGGGAGAAGGTGGTGCGGCGGTTCAGGGAAGCGGCGGTGCGGAGGCTGGCGACAACAAGGGTAGGACCGAAGGAAGGCTGATACCATGTAGAAGATTATGATGCAACTCTTGATGTATTGATTGGGTGCAATCACACGCATATATGATGTACAAAGTGGGTCACGACCTCAACTATACAAAGAACTAGGAGGTGGGCGAGGGATACAGATACAGGTAAGATATATACTCAACATGCAGTATCGATCGATCAGTGGAAATAAACATCGAATAAGCCCAACCGGTACGAAATAGGGAAATTGGGTCACGATAGCTAGTCATTTATAAGATGTTGCTATTTTTGTTCTTTTCTTGGCACATTTCATCTTCAGAAAGGTGAAGAATACACAATGTAGGGATGAAGAATAGTTGCTCGATGTAGTACTACATCAGCACGTGCTGTTTTAGGTCAACCAAGTCATCCTTTTTAAGGCTGGTACTTAGACTTTTTTTTTTGCATGGTCTTTTTTTTTTTTTTTTGCATGGGCTGGTACTTAGACTGACTGACCTGAAATCGTACGGCACGTACGTACCCCCGGCCCCGGCCCGTGCCAATTGCCATGACCCCGTACATGCGTGCGACGGAGCAGGTCGGCACATTAAGCCGAGGAGAGACCACCGGCCGTGCCGGCCATCCGAGGAGACACGCAGAGGGCCGGAGTGGCGGCCGCCGGGAGTTGACCTGCCTGCTTGCTTTGGCCGTTCAAGGCACGTCCGGAAAAGTGCGACGACGAACTTGCCGCGGAAGGCTGCACGAATCGGGCGCTTGCCTGGCGCCGTGGTGCCCGTGCGTGTTCGCAAGTCGCAGCCGTGGCCGCCCGACGGCTTCGTGCGGCTGCCGACGGCGTCCCCATGACGCACGATGGAGCCGCGGGCGCGACGACGGCGTACGGTAGACTGCTTGCGTTTGTGGCATGCAGATTAGGTCTCCACTCGACGTCGGCGGCGACGACGACGACGACTCGTCTCTCGGGACAGCATGGGTGCGTGCACGTACGGGAAACGGTAGAGATTGAGGAGAGAAGCGTGCACGCACTGTGCCATCCAGCTAGCGGGTGCGCCTGTCCGGTCGGATGGTGCATGCGAGCCGGCAGGCCTCGGTCCTGTGTCGCTGTTGGCCCTTCTTAAGAGGTCACATTGTATAAATATACTCTCTCCGTTTCTAAATATTTGTCTTTCTAGAGATTTCAATAAATGACTACATCCAAAGTAAAATAAATGAATCTACACTCTAAAATATGTCTATATGCATCCGTATGTGGTAGTCCATAAAAAATCCCTGTAAAGACAAATATTTAGGAACGGAGGGAGTATATTCCTTTGTCATTTTTATAAGATGCTTAGACAATTCAGACAGCACCGAAAATAGTTCAATGTCAGCTGTCCAAAACGTCTTATAAAAAAACGAAGGGAATATTTTCTTTAGGGCACACTGTATTGTGAGTTATAAGAGGGTCTTCTACTAGCCGTTGCATGTCAGCTTAGAGCATGTTTAGCCAATCCCCTGTCATTTAACTGCTTAAGTGCCTTCTCAAACTTAATTTCTTAAATTTTGAGTAGTTAAATAGTGGTCTTTGATATTTAACCATCTTCAATGCCATCCATTCTAGATCCAACAGCTGTAATTATTCCGATGCATTCAATATCAATAACTAAATGCAATCTCCTTTGCATCATTGCCTCCAAACAAATTGCAGAGGGTAATCTAGTGAGCGATTACATAGGCATACAATCGGCAGTGAATCAGAAGGCATTGTCGAAGCACAACGTAGCAAGTACAAACATTACGGTATTTCAAACACTGACTCCTACAATGTACATTATCACCTTATCGTGGTAATTCGAAACACCCAACAAAGATTACTAAACAAAAGGCTCGGACATGCATCAAGCAGCCAACACTCCAGCAGAGATCAGAGTAGTAAACCCTTCATTTTCTTTCAAAGAGGAGGTAGAGAACATCATTCTTATTAGGTACATTGTCTTGCCGTTGTAACATGCTACGGCCAAGGCAAGGATTTTCATCCTGGTTGCCAATACCGACCATTGAAGGCCAGCACATCAACAACAACCAACACACAAACAAAGACATCTCAATCATCAGTTCCCACCCGGGCAAGACGCATCCAGAAGGGCTACACAGTTACGCTAGCCAACACTCTCTCCACACAGAAGCAAGTCGTCGCCGCACTCCTCTCACTCGCGCCGTGGTGCCGCATAGGGTCCCCCACCGCTCCTCCTCATCGTTGTTGCCTTTGTCGATCTGACGCATGCCCAACCATGTTGATCGGCGCATGGCTCTGCCCAGGAGCAAGTCGTTGCCACACCCGACCAACTCTAGGAGGCCAAAGAGACCACTGTCTGATAGGGTACCGCCACCGGTAAGGGTTGTCAGGGTGGCAGAGAGGGCAGGCGAGTCCAATCCGGCGGCGAGCGGGGCATCCAATGTGGAGGCGGTGGGGAAGGATTCTTTTTTCCTGAGAATCATTTGGGGCCGCTTAAAAACGAGGAGGTGGAACAGTTTTTGTTTTGGCATAGCTCCGCAAAATTTGGAGTTAACCAAATAAGGGGTTCGGCAAGGCAGGCCTCAAAACATATAAAATTTTAATGAGTTAAAGCGTTTAAGGAAGGGAGTGCGTAGAGCTCATCTAGATGAGATATAATTTTGTCTCATTCACCTGCAAAACAAAAACATATACAAAGGAGTACCAACCCAAGTTAGCACACACACATCTTATACATCACATCCAATGGCTACAAAGGTGAATGAGACATAACTAGAACTCAGCTAGATGAGTTCTAGTAAAACTGTTTAAGGAATGGTCCAGAGATGCTCATAATTGAGGAAGCTTGATCGCATTTTACATGGGGCCAACTGAAAGAGTCATGTGCGTGGGGTTCAGCACCTGGGTTAGAGCCTTCCGCTAACTCAGTGGCGAGGGTTCATCTTCTTTTCTTGTTCTACTCTATGCATACTTATACCCAATTTTCTTAGAAAGAAACTCCTACTGTTTTGCGGTAACAAAAGTCGAAACCATTTTCGATTCGCCAGTGAGCACTTCTTTTCGCTAGAACTAAACAGTTCGTTAAAGTCACACCGCCTGCTTGTGAGCAGCAAGTGTTACTACTGATAGGTTTTCGTCTACCTGTCAGTGTTGAATGACCCGCGTTTTCTAGCTAGTGTTCTCAAGCCCGCCGTTGGGCGCCCAAATGTGTGCCAAAAGAATTGTAATTTGTAGCTTGGGGAGCAGTTCCAAACAGAGGCGAAGAGTTTCCAGCAGGCGATGTCATAAAATCCTGTTGACTAACTAATTGCTTGGCGTGCAAACATGTGGCATATATAGTAAGAATACGGAACGAGTTGTCGATTCATAACAGATGTACACGTACTACTCTGCGCAGTTGCTAGTTACTAGCATAGTACACGGAATGAGTTGTCGGTTCATCATCATTATTTAACAGAAGATATGGTTACGGTATAGCTTGTTAGGGTCAATGAATTAGGTGCTGCTAGCATAGTTATAGTATGGCTTCATCAAATATCAAAGTCAGCAGCCGTTGTTCTCCTGTGACGACTTAGGCCAGGCGATCGATGATTTTTCAAAGGCAATTATTTCCATCAATTTCTAGTCCCCATCTCCGCTTTTGGCCCCTACAGCGGGGAAAAGCGGGAGACAGATTTGCACGGGATCGAACACTACAACTGAGCTGCAGAATCATCCGCTGGCGCACATTTCTTTATCGGTTTAGTCAAGAAAGCTGCTCCATTGCTTTGGGCTTTGCCCCCTCCAATAGCCGGCCATGGATGGATCGTCGGCTGGGCATGCAGGCAAAGCTGGCGATCTAGTACTGCTCCTGTCCTCCAACCGAAACTGAGCAACGCCACTTTTACCACCTTCCCGGCTTAATTTCCTCCTAATTTATCACAACATCACGCATGAACAATTGAACATGAACAAAAAGAGAGAAGCGGCTGGCACACACACATCTTTTACTTTCTGCGGCTTAAATTCCTCCTGTAATTTATGACGGTGTCACGCATGAACATGGAAGAAAAGAAGGAGGGAGGGATCGTCGACACCGTTGCTGTCGCTGATCGGCGATGCTGTTAGTGCTGTTGCGGTAGTTGCAGTGGTGGTTACGGTGGCCATGCCGTGGCATATGGTGCCTGATGATTTTACCCGGGACTGGGAGAGCGGGAGGGGATCAGTTCGGTTTGGGGTGTGGTTTTCGTGGAGATTTTTAAGGTCGCGTGTCATGGCTCCCGATGTTGGCCCCTCTCCTTTCCCGGCCCTCTTCCGCGCACCCTTCCCAATCCCATCTTCCTCCTCCCTCCTCCCAGCTTTCCATTGCTGTGGCCGGCGGGGGCCACCGTTGCCTTGGCGTTTCCCTCTCAAGGTTGGTGGCACTTCCCTAACGTACCTCCTATCGAACCAACGAAACTAATCCCACTACTAGCCTAGTACTAGCTAGCTAGCTTGGCCGCAGCTGGGGCTGTGTGCGGAGCTGTATGGGCAGTGTGATGGATCGTCCGGCCGGTCAGTGCCTATATATAACCACCCCCGTCCGTTGCCATTGTTTCCTTGTACCCCGTCACCGGCAACAACTTCATTCCCCTCACTCGACTAGACTCCATCTTCTCCCCTGCTCCCTTCCCCCTACGATCCATCCCCTTCACTTCCCGTTTCAGTTCATCGATGGTGGCTAGTTGTAGGCTGTAGCTCGCCATAGGTGGAGCATTGCACTCCGGCTACAGCTGTGTCTTCTTTACCCTCCTGTTCACGATCCATCGATCTCCTTACCTGACCGAGTAGAGCACACCGCGCACAAAGGAAGGGATCATGAGCATCTCCGTGAACGGGCAGTCGGTGGTGCCGCCGGGGTTCCGGTTCCACCCCACGGAGGAGGAGCTGCTCACCTACTACCTCGCCAAGAAGGTGGCGTCCCAGCGCATCGACCTCGACGTAATCCCCGACGTCGACCTCAACAAGCTCGAGCCATGGGACATCCAAGGTGAGTTCATGCATGAGTTCCTCGACAATGCTACTAGTTCGCATGTGCGTGCCCATGGTGAACTCAACTAACTGGCCATGGAAAACCGCATGCAGAGCGCTGCAGGATAGGAACAGGCCCGCAGAACGACTGGTACCTGTTCAGCCACAAGGACAAGAAGTACCCCACGGGGACGCGCACCAACCGCGCCACCGCCGCCGGGTTCTGGAAGGCCACCGGCCGGGACAAGGCCATCTACTCCGCCGCCGGGTCCGGCCGCATCGGCATGCGCAAGACCCTCGTCTTCTACAAGGGCCGCGCCCCGCACGGCCACAAGTCGGACTGGATCATGCACGAGTACCGCCTCGACGACGCCGTCCCCGCCCCCGCCAACCCCAACAACCCCGCCGCTCCCGGCGACGCCGGCAGCACCTACTACTCCGGCACCTCATCATCCCCGGTACGTACTCTACCAAGTACAGACCACACTGTGTGCCATACTGTAGTACGTTGAAGCGCATGCACGGCCGGCCGACAGGGATGGGGATAGATCACTAGTGGCGCACTGCATGCGCGCGCGATTAATGTACGTACGTAGAACGTACGTGTATGTACACGTGGCTGGTCTGCGACTGTAGACGAGATCGACAAGGTCTGGTGACGATTATCTCCGGGTGGTGGTTGGGAATGGGGACACGCATGACATGATGCATGGTTTAGCAAATAATAATTGCGATTAGCGAGTGGGAGCTGGGATTTCCTTTCGACGGGTCGCCGTCGCGGAAAGGGGCAGTGGGTGGGAGTAGGTTCAGTGCTCGTGAAGGAACGAAGCTTCACTGTAGCCGGCCCAGCCAGGGGTCTGTCAGTCACACATGTGCGAAACGAAACGCCAGCCACAGTGATCGGTTAGGGCCGGGCCGGTCGTCTCGCCTCTCGCGTGGGGCCATGGCTGCCGGGGGAGAGTATCTTGGTCTGCACCAGCAGGATCGTCGTCCCACACCACACACGCGTGTCTCTTCTCCGGCCGGACCTAACCCCAGACACGCCCACACGTACGTGGTGCCGTACTTGATATGCTATACGAGTTGGGGAGGTTGGAATGGGGTAGTGGACCTGTGCTTTGCACGCGGAGACAAGCAGACGGACAAACGGACGTAGTACGCTTCTTTTCGGAGGTCAAAGGCTAGCACTGCTACACATGGACATGGATGGATGGATGGATGGATGGACCGGGCATGCATGCATTGGAGATATGTGCCTTTTGAGCTGGATGGATCGGCAAAGGCTAGCTAGTCTTTTCGTGCGGATGGATCTCATCTCATCTGCCGCGGGCAGGCACATAATTGAGTGGCTAGTTCGTGCCTTTGCTGAATATTCAACACACACACTGGCTTCTTCTTTTCTTTTCTTCCTTGTGTTCTTTCCATATTCCATAGGTCAACACATACACTAGCTAGCTTCCTCTTTTCTTTTGTAGGACTTGGCTAGTTCATGGATGTGTAGGGTGGTGTGTCATGCATGAAGAGGGGAATTAATCTTCCATAACTACCTGTGATTCTTTAATTAATTTTGTCATATGGAACTAGTAATGTGGTTGAACATAGGTTCGTAATTTGTATGCTTTTTTAAGTGGCCTGCCTAATTAACTTGGAAGTGCGTTTTCTTCTTAATCGAAAATTCTGCAACACGATTGCATGAGCTTGACACAGACTAGAGTCTAGAGTCTAGACTAATCTAAATTACCACAAATAATTGCATGCATGTGACGTTTAAGCATTTCTCCAAGCACTTGATTACTCGATTGACTTGTGTGCTCCTCTAGTACAAACGTACCGCCGGCCCAATGTTATCGATCTCATGTGAATTATTGTCCGTCTGAGCAGATTCGTGGCGTGGCCGGAGACCAGTCGTCGGGGCAGGAGGACGGATGGGTCATCTGCAGGGTGTTCAAGAAGAAGAACATCGTCGTGAACCAAGGCCAGAACGGCGGCGGCGGCGGCGGAGCGGCGTCCAACAAGCTGGCCGGCGCCGCCCCCATGGAGCGCAGCCAGAGCAACTGCTCGTCGACGGTGACCACCATCAGCAACCACATCAAGGCGGCGCAGCAGCAGCAGCAGGACCAGCAGAACCAGCTGCTGCACTACTCCGCCAGCGACGACGCGCTCGACCACATCCTCAACCACTACATGCATGGCCGCTCCCCCACGACGCCGTGCAAGCAGGAGGCCAAGCCTGCCGCCGGCTCGGCGCTGGACCACCTGATCAACAGCACCGCGTGCCCGAACGGGACCCTGTACGAGCGGTTCATGAAGCTCCCGCCGCTCGAGCACGTCGTCTCCGGCGGGCTCCTGCACCCTCCGGCAACCGAGTACGGCGGCGGTTCAGGGAACAACAACATCGGCACAGAGTGGGACTCGCTCGACCGGCTCGCGGCCTCGTACGAGCTCAACGGCCTCTCCGACGACGTCGCGTCCGCCAGCAAGAACAGCAGCATGGCGTCCTTCTTCGTGGACGGGCACGGCGGCGCCACCGGCGCCGGCGCCGGGGACGGCGACCTGTGGAGCCTGGCGCGCTCGGTGTCGTCCCTCCACGCGGACTTGACGACGATGAATTGAAAACGTATGGCGGTGGTTAATTAATCAATTGTAAAAAGTGTTTCTAGTGCGCGGGACGCACGTCATGCCGCATGCATGCACGTACGCGCACTAGGAGCACTAACTCGACCCGACCGATCTCTCTACGTACTACATGCATGCGTGCGTGCATGGCCGGTATTGTACGTACGTACGTGAATAATTGGAGGAGACAACCAAAGCGGCGTGAGAGTGAGACTCAAGAGACCGGAGCTGATCTTGACGTGAAGGATCAAATTACAGAATTGAGAAAGGACCGCGTGTGGTAGGAGAGCAGAGTAAATATATTTGGGATATATGTATTGTTAATTAATTAAATCATCACAGTGTACCTATAGCTTATATACATGGTATATACTATGAGAGCCCTTTCAATCAACCGTAGAGGTGTAATAATCGTGTGCATTATTGTGATCAATAGATTGATCCACAAATTTACATCATATATGTTCCAATAATTTTTAGGGTGGGCATGCCAGTGGACACGGATGTAGGTCTCGACAAACTAAGAATATATATCGCAAGTTTTACCCGTGAATTATTTTTGAAAATGTGATCATTGTGTTTACTATTGCTATTGTTGACAAATTAACATCCTGTGCTCCAATGATTTTTAGCGTGTGCATTCCATTGGACACGGATGGCGGTGTCGACAAACAAACTATGAATAGACCATAAGTTTTAACCGTAAAAAAATCAACCATGAAATGTGATAACTCTGTGCATTATTGCGATCGATTGACAGTTTACCATCATGTGCTCCAATAATTTTGAGGGCGTGCAAGCCGGCACGGGATGGAAGCTGATGGACCAACAAATTAACAGCATGCGTGTGCGTGCCATGGACGAATCGATGGAGATCGACGGATCGTTGTCTCGACCCCGACCGTGTGTGGCGACAAGAGGAAAACTGTTGGGAAACCAAAAGGCGCATGGTTTTTGGCCTTCTCCAGCTGTTTCTTGTGTCGGTATTGGATGCAAGTTCGAGAAGGGGAAAAAGGGGGGGAGAGATCGATCGATGTGAAGTCGGACCATCAGGCACTACTTTTCTGGCTCCCGTTACCTCTCGTGTTGAAATATTGTACAGCCTCGTGCCACACGTACGATCATACTTTTAACGCCTTGTCGCGGTCAAATGATGGTGTAGAAATCCCGGGCGATCCTGGTTTTGTCCCTTGTCGACAACTTTTAGCTCTCTCTGTCTGGCCTTGTAGTTAATTTGTATTTACCGCCGCTCCCCGGGTGGAATATTCAGGAGCCTCTCGATCACACGTGTGTCACGCACGCACTCGCGCAACCGGCGTGGGAAAATTATTAGCTGGTGACGCACGCATATGTGTACCCTTTTCATGCGCTCACCGGGAGCAAATTATTCTGCCTCTATAATGGTATTTTATGCATGGATAGATGGACGAGGGGATTTGGTGATAGTGCCATGCATGGTGGAGGTAGTGATGAATTCACCCAGAGCTGACGTAGAATTTAGAGGCTCGGCCAAAGTGTGTGAGAAAATATCCCGTGGTTCCTCCTTTTGTGGCTCGTCCAACGTACCACATAATAACAACAAAAATACAATAATAATTGTATTACTTTCTTTTTAAACATTGACAATCTTGTGATACAAGATGCACGTACCATGCTGTAAAATTTCAACACCAAATTCGTCACATATGATGACACAGAAAGGATCAATCTGACTATAAGTAGTAGTACCATTTGCCCTTTTTGTGTCTTATTATAGTGTACAAAGTTTAGAAATAAATTTGGGTCGTGGGAGTACTAAAGTCATATTGTGTCAATGTTGTAAAAAGTTCATATTTTATTGTACTTTTTTTAGGTAGCATGAAAACATCGTAAAGAAAGTATCGGATATCCTCTCCAAAGGGTCTGTGATTTGCATGTAAGAGAGTATCAAAATTGTAGGTAAAAGAGTGACATATACCTACCAAATGCTAGTATATTTCATTTTAATTTATTTGCGTCGTAGAAGCTTCCTTTTGATGGGCAAACAATAATTAATGTCCCCGTGCATTTATATGCATAGTACCTAGATTGTCTCCTTTTGCTTTATCTTGGTACTATAGATATACTTGACCCTGTACTTTCTTTGGGACAGGTAGGTATATGATGTTGAACGGGTGTGATCATTTCTCGGTTGACTTAGAAATAATTCATTCCTAGTCGACACCATTACCTTCAGTGAAGTTCTTTGTATCCTTTCGTATTTGCATGATTCTCAATTTTGTTTACATTTTGCATTTCGCTGTTTAGGTTAGATGGAACATAGAAATAATAATTTCCCGGTTGCTCAAGAAATAGCAAAACCGTAGTGGAATTATACTTCTTCTTTCTTTCTTTCTTTCTTTCTTTTTTTATTTTTATGATGAGTTGATCTATATTTCTATGTATAAGAGAGGTAGATATACTTCTCTATGGTGAAAACCTAAAATCTTGGATCGGACAACGACGGCGATTGTGCACTGTTTTCTTCTTGAAGGTGTTGCTTTTGGAGACTTTCTATATTTTCTGAGTGTTGTATCTGGTGGTGGCGGCTGCAGGGAACACTCGATCACTATGGCAGGATCTTTATTTTTATTTTTTTTCTTTGGCTGTGTGCATCTGAGATGTCTTTGCGACATCTTGTAGGTGCTAGGTGTAATATATTCCCCTTTCAAAAAGAGATGTAGGAATATACTCGACCTTGCTTTGGGTGGAATAAATAAAGTAGTAAAAGGGGAAGGAAAATATTACATTTCAAATAATACAGATCGACTTGCTGGTTAAGTGAATTTTTTTTTTGAAACTTTTGTTAGTCTCTGTGTTATTGATAATCTTGCAGAAATAATCAAATAGGTAGATTTCACGCCCGATCGTACTAGAACTCAATTAAGTTGGAGATTTCAGACTAATCAAAAGTAAATTTTCGGACCCAAAGGGATTGCTTTGATTGTCGGCACCTAATTAAGTGTCTCCTTCACGATTCCAGTACCGGAGACAGTTTAACGGTTGCTGAAAACATGGGCGCATATGGTCCCTTTCTCCCTACAGAATACGAGTCCCATTTATGCCAAGAGGGGTCTTCCTCGATCGATTGGAACCACAATATGCATGGATATATGTACTACCTGATTGATGACTGGAGATGATGAATGTACAGTACTGAAACCAATTCTACATCTCGGAAACACCAAAATGGACCCAGCAACTGCATTGCGCTGTTACATTACAGGGCCCTACTCTACCTGGCCCGTGATGGGCCTTGGAATTTATTGTTGGTTAAATTTCAACAGTATGATTGGCCTCAGATCATTCAAACAGGGACCTACCATGCAAAGGAAAAAAGGAAACAGCAAGGACCTTCAATCAGAATAGACACAATTCTATCCTGACAAAAAGATATATATTGCACTCGATGCACACAGTCCAACCTGTTAAAATGTTCATAGATTGGTATCGATGTTAATGCCTTTTGGTGGTTTTTTCGTTCTTACTCTTGGTTGTAGGAATTTCAAAGCAACCACTCATCACTTAAAACCGTCAATCCAATGTTAAGATGCACTGAACTATCTCACGGCTAGAACCTGTCGTTCCTCCCCTAACTCTTGACGGCTAGGGTAAATTCTCCCCTCCAGACATCACCGGCAAGCCTGTGGATTTGGCTCCCCTCTGCCTGCAGCTCAGGCGGCCGATGGCAGGAGGAGAGTCTCGGTGCCTTCACTCCGGTTAGTAGTTTAGGTTAGCATTTTTTAGTCCTCGTAGATGTGGCAATAAGGCTGATGGTGACGCTTCTTCTTGGAGTTTGTCTTCGGGGCTCCAATCCTCCTCGAGTTCGTCCATCTGTATGTAGTCGACGGAGCTTCGACGGAGTCTACAGAGTTCGATGTAGATTACTGCCATCACTTTGTGGCCTTGAATTTGCAAGCCACGGGTCAGCCATCGTTCTTCCATGAACCCTACATCTGAGTGGTCGTCACCCTCCCGCACACTGACACAACTTCCCAAGACTATGATCCATGACTTAATTTCATGTTGAACGGAACTCTAGATGTTGCCTAGAGGAGGGGGTGAATACAAATTTTAAAATAGTTGCAGATTTGGCTTAATTCTAGCACATGGTTAAACTAGTTGAATTATTTTTAAGGATAAATCCTAAATATGGTCAACTAAGTGTACCAACAATTCAAACTCTATCCAGAATATATCAATATATTAGCAAGTATAATTGTTCTTAAAGGCGGAAAGAGACAACCAATGTGTTTGCTCAAGTTCATGCATCCATCAACGTTCTACGTCTCCCTTGGGGTACCAACTAACGGAGTCTCACTTGAGTCGCTCTTGTATTAACTAGATCACTGATGGCGCGCGTTGCTGCACCCGTCTGTTTTGGCTCTTAGTTGGTTAGGGATATTATGTAATTTGTGGATTTGCAAGCATTGATTTGAAATATTAGGCTTTCCTATAGCTTGTGTTTTTTTTATTTTTGAAAATAATAGTTTGCAACTAAAGGGAGAAATCTGGTTGTTCCTATAGCTCTTAGTATTTAACCAACCTTCACTTCGGGCAACATTACAACTTCCATGGAACATACTTAGATATAAATGTTTGCAGTGCCCTAAGCCAACCTATCCATGGTTAAAACAATGATGGCTATGCACAATTTGGTTCAAGAATACAACCTTGTATGCAGTTGCATACGAAAATGGAATTAAACATAATATAGAGGCAGCATCACAGTAAATACTTGGGAAATAGATTTTATTGAAGCATACACCGAACTGGAGAAGATGCAAACCTCAAATAGGCACCAGAAATATAGCACAAAAACTTATATAATTACGGATACATCAGATGGGACACAGGGTAGGAGAGGTATAATCATATAGTTTCAAAGAAGATCAAGAATATTGATTATTACATCAAAAGGAACATACAATACATACTTACATATCATATTATCCATGATAAACCAAATAATAATATCT